GTCGTGTATCTTGTAGCTGATACTTTTCGGAAACGATACTTGCTGGATACTCTTTGATACTCATCAGATACGTATCATGTCAGCGGATACATTTTGACTTGATGGATACACGTATCATGCTTTTAGGATACTTTTACACTTTCAAATAAGAAATTAAAAGTAAAAAAATTAACAAGAGACTAAGCTTTATTTGAAATCTGATGTATATGAAGACCTAACCTCTAATTCATATTATATATGAATACAGTTCTGACACTTCTTCTACTTATAAGAATACCTTTGCCTTTGAATGATCCTTCAAAACATCTATTCTCAGCAACTCATCCATGCTTGGCATCTTCAATGTAAAGATCTAACATCATATCAACTGTTCTGAGGTATTTGCTGAGGCAATTAGTTGAGTATTTTGAGTGACTTGGTTGAAGAAGTATTCTTGGAGAGGAAGAAAACTGAGTATTTCAAGATGTTTCGTTGAAAATGCACTCTCGGAGAGGAGGAATAGTTAGGCATTTTTACAGGCTTGCTTTGCCATGGAGGATAAAGGTCAACATATATAAGGATTTCCCAATAACAAGTAGTGGTGCTATTAGGATCATTTCTTTTACACTTGTCAGCAACAGTGGTGTAATTGGAATTGTAAAATTCACACGTTCCAACTTTGTTAGAGATCTTTAACAAAGTTGCCCGTGGTATCCAAAAAGCTAAGATTGTGTCTGAAAAAGGTAAGAGATCTTTGATACTATATATGAATACCTTTTTCTTTGAATGATCCTTCAAAACATTGCTTCTTAGCGACTCATCCATGCTTGGCATCTTTAGTGTAAAGAGCCAACATCATATCAACTGTTCTAAGGTATTTGCCGAGGAAATCAGTTGAGTATTTTGAGTGACTTGGTTGAAGAGGTATTCTCGGAGAGGAAGAAAACTGAGTATTTTGATATGCTTCATTGAAAATGCACTCTCGAAGAGGAGAAATAGTTAGGCATTCTTGCAGGTCTGTCTTGCCATGGAGAACGGATGTCGACATATATAGGGATTTCCCAAAAGCAAGTAGTGGTGCTGTTGGGATCATTTTCTTTACGCTTGTTAGCAACAGTGGTGTAATTGGAATTGTAAAATTCACGCGTTTCAACTTTGTCAGCGATATTTGACAAAGTTGCCTGTGATATCCAAAAAGCTGAGATTGCGTCTGAAAAGTGTCAACGAACTTTATTCAAGAAAATCTAGCTTTTGAAATTTGGAGAGCGGTGCCTCTTCAATTTGTGAATGAATGGCAATATTGCCTCTAATGTGAAATATTCTAACACTCAAATTAAAACCCTATGATTGTAGTATATGAAAGTAGGGATCGTTTTAGGCCGGGGATTTGAAAGGCTGCTAATCTACACAAATTAAACTCTAAAACACTAAACTAGACTCAAAAACACAAAACTAGACTCTTATGACTCAAAACTAAACAAACTGACTTAAAACAGCACAACTAAGTGAAATTGACTCAAAACAGACTCTAGGGAGTTATTTGGACGAATTTAAAACTAGTAAGACTCAAAACACTAAATTGGACAGATTTGAACACGTTTCTAATAATCTAACACACTTAATAAAAAAAGGGGGGGGGATTGATTTGGATGAAATTAATTAAACTAAATAGATTGCAAAACAAAGTAAATTAGGTACGAAATTAGGTGATTTGAATGGTGAAAAACTAGCCAGAGGGTCATTCTCCACACATGAAACATATGCATACAAATTGATTTCCAGTATTATTTCTTTAAACCATGAATGACAATGCCCTAAATTAATTGTGAATGCGCTAATTAACTTTCAGATTTTCCTAAGTTCATTGAATTGAATGGACATCGCATCATAACCAAATTATTCTTCTCAAGTTCCCTATATGAACAGCATGATCGAGATACATATCAAAGATCATTAAGTTCTATGAAAATCATAAGCACTGACAAAGTATTCGTAACTATGAACTGCATGATACTCCTGCCAAGAATTCACTTAACACAATTGTGACTAGCAATCTCTACTACTTATAAATATAAGTTCACAACGATTAGGTGAAATTCTGTAGCATCAAATCCCTGCATGTAAACTAAGTATGCATCCTTAATAAACACACAAGAATAAGTTCTCAATAAAGCAGATAAGTAAATCACATTCATGTTTTACGAAACAATAACTGGATGTAATCAATTTATATAAAACATATGTCCATGGCTTCGAATTCACCTTTAACTAAAAAGGAATTAGTTCCTCATGTTCATAATAATTGAAAAGCAAAATAAAATAAACATGGAAACGAAACGAGGGAAGAAAGAACTTTGAAAGTCTCCAATGGTTGCATGTGGCTTGCAGCACAACCCTAATCTTCTCCAATGGAAGCCACGACAAAGTCTTCTCTCCTTCAAGGCTGCGGCACAAGGTGTGGAATTCTGATTCTAGGCTTTTATGTGTGTGGTGCGAAAATAGGGTCAGATTTATGTATTTATAGGCTAGGGTTTACAGCACCAATTCCTTGGAGAACAAGGTCAAGGCATGGCCCAATCTAAGAGGGAAAAGGATTAGGGTTTTGGCAGATTTTTGGACTTCAAGAAGAAGGAGGGTGCGGCACTTATTTAGGGCTTCTAGAAGGAATGTGTTATGGCAGGTTCCTAAGCTTCTAGAAGAGGGAATAGGCACCACCTTTCTAGGGGTTCTAGAAAGGATGGTGTGGCATAAGTTTAGGGCAGGGATAAGCTTTCTAGAAGGGTTGCTTCTAGAAAGGGCTTCTAGAAATCTGAAAAGGTTTTGGATAATGCTCCTTCCTTCTTGCTGATTACTCATCTTCCAAGACTTGAATTAATTTTTCCATCTCTTTAGCACATTCCTAGCTTCATTTGATCTTAAAAAACGTCCATTCCTTATGTTCCACATGCATGCAATCCATTCTAGCCCAAAATTGCTCTAAAATGCTCCAAAATGCACTTTCTTACCAACTTTGCCAATTGGACCTACAAACACACAAAATAACTTAAAACACTCTAATAAGTAGAAAATAACTAAGTAAATACGAAGAAACAAGCTAACTAAGTCGCATAAATATGCTCCTATCAAATTCCCCCACACTTAGCTTTTGCTAGTCCTCGAGCAAAAGAAAAAAAAAACAAAACAAAACACAACCTAAACCTTCCAACTTTTGCCTCATGGATTTCCAATGGAACATGACATGTTAAAAAATCACTACTCACATAGATTTTAGTCATCCCTACCCTCGAGTGCATACTTAATCGTAGTCACCACTCACTAGCTTGCATTTAATCAATTTAAAACATGGTTTTGATGGTAGTAACATGCCTTAGAGAATTCCCTCAATTCCTCACTGGATATACTCTCTATTTTCACACAGATTTTCTGACTACACTCCATATACTAGGTATATGTGAGAAGATTGATGTAAACATGTAGACTAGCCACTCACATATGTTATAATCAAAGAAAGCACTTTCTGGAATTATTAATACATGTAGACTAGCCACTCATGAATGGAATGCCACTACTTAGACGCGAGAACCAGGGATCCCATATGCTCATACCAATCCCAAACTCCACAGATTGAAACACATAACACCCAAGATAGAAGTCTAAGGGTTGTAACGAGGCTAAGGTATTGGCTAACAAAGAATGGTCAAGGATAAACAATAGTTCTTAAAGCAATAGTAAGCAAAGTAATGAAATCAACACCTAGAATTTCCTTTTGAATGCAGCAACTAACTTTAAACACAAGGGGAAGATTCACACAACACTTAAGGTCAAATTCAAACTTTTGGACCATTTCTTCAACAACCAAAACTTGTGAGTTCATTCTCACTTATTTCTCAATTCTTTTCCTTCGTTTTCTTTTCTTTTTCACGCTTTTTTTTTTCTTTTTTCTTTCTTTGGAAATAACCTTCCCCCACACTTGTTTTCTGCAATATGTTTGACCAAAAGGAATTCCCTCTAAGTCATGCTCCACTATACTTTAAGAACAAGGGTATGGATAGTCCTATTCTAGGCAAGGTAGGGATGATGTGGCTAACAAAGAAAATAGGCTCAATAAGGCTCAAAGGGATTAAGGCTTTTTGGCTCTGGTGGTAACTACTAAACAACTTCATCTTGTTTTATGTTATGCACTCAATTTTAAGCTTTGAATGACACGGGCATGAGTTCTAGTATTTGGAATTATAATGATGAAAACGCATTCTAAGTAGCAACCAAGCAAAGAAATAATGAGATCATGCAACGACTTTAGAAAACAAAAACATCACAGATTAATAACTTTCCAAACAAAGCTTAGGCTTAAATCTCTCAGGGTTGTAGCGTTAGTTTGAGTTCCTTCCTTCAAGCATGTTACAAACACTGATTTTTTTTTCTTTGTGATTACATGTGAATTCGTAAACGTCAACTACAACCAAGCATAAACCAAAAAGCATATCAAACTTCCACCCATGTTTGTAACTTTCTTTAACAGTCATGTAATTAAAAACCAAATCCTCATCATTGTGTTGAAAGGTACCCAAAGACACAAACAAACACACAAAAACAACTTTAAAACCACTCTTTTTGGGTTTTTCAAACGTTTTCTACTTTTTTTTTCTTCAAATTTTCGTATTTTTCTTTCAAAACACAATAAAACACTTCAAAACACACTAAAAACACTTAAAAACAATGAAGAACAACTCTAGTGGTGCTAGGTGGTAATATCACATGAAAATCATGCAAAAACAACTTGTTTACCCCCCCCACACTTACCAAACATTGTCCTCAATGTTTCAAATATAAACTCACACGCAAACAATCAAAACAACTAACAAACACGACAATCATGGTAGAGTAAAAGCAATAAAGAGAAGGGGTTAGGAACGCAAATCTGGTTGTTGGAGCTATAATTCCATTATGCCTTCATTTGAACACATGGGTTGCCTCCCAAGAAGCACTTGCTTTAACGCCTTCTAGCCGGATGATACCTCCATTTAAGCTTCAATAGGGCCAATGGCATGGAGGGGTATATCCTCCATGACATGCTCCTCAAAAGTCTCATAGTAGGGCTTCAAACGGTGTCCATTGACTTTGAATTTGGACTGCACCATAATGAAAAACATAGTAACAACAAAAGGGCCAATCCATTTAGAATGCAACTTACCCGGAAACAAACGAAGGTGGGAGTTGAAGAGTAACACTTTCTGCCTTATAGAGAATGTCTTGCCATAAATCATCTTGTCATGGGCTGCCTTTGTTTTCTCCTTGTAAATGTGAACGTTTTCATAAGCCTCATTCCGAATCTCTTCAAGCTCGTTCAATTGAAGCTTCCTATGAATTCCAGCGGCATCAATGTCCATATTGAATGTCTTGACTACCCAATGTGCACGATGCTCTAACTCAACATGAAGATGATATGGTTTCCCATAGATGAGCCAAAATGGTGACATCCCAATTGGTGTTGTGTAGGCTGTATGATACGCCCACAATGCATCATTCAAACGTAAGCTCCAATCCTTCCGAGTGGGTCCAACCGTCTTCTCCAAAATCTGCTTGATTTCCTTATTAGAAACCTTTGCTTGGCCACTTGTTTGAGGATGATAAGGTGTTGAAACCTTATGCATGACATTGTACTTCTTGAGCATCGCCTCAATGGTTCGATTGCAAAAATGGGAACCCCCATCACTTATAAGTACTCTTGGCATTCCAAACCTTGCAAATATGTTAGTTTTAACAAAATCTGCAATCACTTTAAATCATTAGTACGGGTGGCTTTTACTTCCACCCATTTCGACACATAATCCACAACAAACAAAATATAAAGGAAACCATGTGAGGAAGGAAAAGGACCCATGAAATCAATACCCCAAACATCAAAGATTTCGACAGAATAGATAGGATTATGTGGCATTTAATCTTTTGCGCTTATATTGCCCGTTCGTTGACAACGATCACAAGTCATACAAAATGTTCTACCATCCTTAAAGATAGTAGGCCAATAAAATCCACATTCTAAAACCTTAAGTGTTGTGCGTTATGTGCCAAAATGACCACCACATGCATAAGTATGACAGAAAGTTAAAATTGAATTAAACTCCGAATCATGCACACATCTACGAAGAATCTGATCAGGGGAATATTTCCATAAATAAGGGTCATCCCAAACATAAAATCGTGCATCCTTTTTAAGTTTATCATGTTGGTGCTTGTTTATGGTGGTTGGAACTTGTTTAGTCACTAAATAATTCACCAAATCAGCATACCATGGCTCACTTACCTCAATGGATAACAACTGCTCGTCTGGGAATGCTTATGGAATAGGTAATGGGTCATCATGCACCAAACGACTCAAGTGGTCAGCCACCACGTTTAACTTCATTTCTTGTCTCGAATCTCCATGTCAAACTCTTGGAGAAGTAACATCCAGCGAATAAGCCTTGGCTTGGCTTTCTTCTTTGTGAGCAAATACTTCAAAGCTGCATGATCAGTGTAAATTATAACTTTAGCTCCAAGTAAATAAGAATGAAACTTATCTAAAGCAAATATAACAGCAAGAAGTTATTTTCAGCGGTAGAGTAGTTCAATTGAGCATCATTCAAAGTCTGAGATGCGTAATAGATGACATGCGGCTTCTTGTCTTTTCTTTGTCCCAAAATAGCCCCTAATGCATAATCTGAAGCATTGCACATAAGCTCAAAAGGCAGGCTCAATCTGGTGGGACTATGATGAGGGCCGAAGTTAGCATCTCTTTAAGGTGATTGAACGCCTTCTCACATTCATCATCGAACTTGAATGGCACATCCTTCTGTAAGAGTCGGCATAGAGGTTGGGAAATCTTTGAAAAATCTTTGATGAATCGCCTATAGAATCCTGCATGTCCAAGAAAAGAATGAACCTCTCTCATCGAAGTGGAAGAGGGTAAGTAGCGTACAAGATCTATTTTCGATTTATCAACCTCAATTCCCTTTGCTGAAACTATGTGACCTAAAACTATGCCTTGTTTTACCATAAAGTGACATTTTTCCCAATTCAAAACAAGGTTAGTTTTGATGCATTGTTTCAAGATTAATGTGAGATTATCTAAACAACCATAAAACGAATCACCAAATACGTTAAAATCATCCATGAAAACTTCAACGATCTTCTCAAAAAAATCTGAAAAGATACTTACCATGCAACTTTGAAACGTGGCTGGTGCATTACATAAACCGAATGACATTCGACGATAAGCAAAAGTACCAAATGGACAAGTAAAAGTGGTTTTTTCTTGATCATTTGGAGCTATAACAATCTGATTATATCCCGAATAACCATCAAGAAAACAATAAAAAGAATGACCAGCTAACCTTTCAAGCATTTGAACAATGAACGACAAAGGGAAGTGATCTTTCTTTGTGGTGGTGTCGAGCTTCCTATAGTCAATGCAAACTCTCCAACCTATTTGGATACGAGTGGGCATTCTCTGCATTCTTTACCACGGTGACTCCAGATTTCTTGGGAATAACTTGAACCGGCGAAACCCAACGACTATCCGAAATCGGGTAGATGACTCCGCAATCAAGAAGCTTGATAATCTCATTTTTCATAACTTCCATCATTTAAGGGTTGAGTTGGTGTTGAGCCTCTCGAGTTTGTAGCCCCCTCCTCTAGAAGTATGCGATGCATGCAAGTGGTAGGGCTAATTCCCTTAATGTTGACCAACGTCCATCCAATGGCTGTCTTGTGCTCTTTTAACACCCGAATCAGTTTCTCCTTCTCCATTGCCATGAGTGATGAAAAGACTATGACGGGCAACATCTCTTTATCTCCCAAAAAGACATACTTTAAATGATCCGACAATGGTTTAAGCTCAATGATGGGTGCTTGAATCACTGAAGGTAACAACTTGTTAGTAGAGATGAGAATTGGAATTGAGGGCTTACCAACATGGTGGGGCAATGACTCAAAGGCAGCAACCATCTCGACATTTGCTACAAGGATAAGCTCGGCCAGATTGGATTTAAACCTAATTCCTTGTGCAATAATTGTTTTAAGGGCATCCTCATTCAAGAAATCAAGATAATCATGCGCCAAAGAATCAAATACATCAATAGAGAAACAAGAATGATCATCTTTAGGATACCTTATAGTCTCAGAAATATTAAAATCAATAATCTTGCCATCAAATTCCATTGTTAATGTCCTTTTGAACACATCTATCTTGGTGCGGGCTGTTTTTATGAAGGGTCTTCCAAGTAGGATCGGCAAGGGTGTAAAATAGGCCGAATCCTCCATCTCAAGCACATAGAAGTCTATTGGAAATATTAAGTTGTTAACCTTGATAGGAGCATATTTATGTGACTTAGTTAGCTTGTTTTCTTGCATTTTCATAGTTAGTTTATGTTATTATAGTGTTTTAAGCTATTTTTGTGTGTTTGTAAGTCCAAATTAGGGCTGGGCATGGGCCGGGTCGGGTTGAAATTTGGAAGAACTTGGCCCTACCCGTTTTAAAATGTAACAGGGCGGGGCGGGCCGGGTATAAGTATTTTGAGTTTGGGAACCGGACCTAACCCGGCCAGTTTCAAATGGGCCAGTTCAGGACGGGTCCACGGGTCCACGGGTCCAACTACTTTTTTTTTTTTTTTTTTTTTTTTCGGTTTTGGGCATACTACCACCAGCCCACGACCCCAGTTTTGCATCACAAAGTCCACTGTGTAAAGGCATCGCCGCCGTCTACTTGCCACATATCAGCGATCAAGAAACCACATATTTCCAAAACATGCGATTCATCTTCTACTTCCTCTTTCTATAAATGCAAGATAATTAATTAATTAACTCCCAGTTAATTAGATTTGCAACTGCAACCCTTCTGATTTGGGTTATGCAGGGGATCAAAGACCAGGCTTCCCAGAAAAAATCCAATATTTTTCAAGCATTTCTCACACCCCAACCTAAATCCCCAAATAGAACAAATTAATAAAAAAACTCTTCATATAAAATTTCGAATTCATCAAAAAATAAAATAAAACTGAATCCCTAATTAAGCTAAATCCCCAACATTTTTATGAAATTTTCAAGCAAATTAACTGAATCCCTAATTCCTAAATCCCCAAATTCAAATTTAGTACAAAAATGAAATTACATGACGAGAAGAAGAGTAGTAGGAGCCTGGGAACATCGTCTTCCTCACGGATCTAAGAGGGCTAGGACAACGTCGTTTTCCTCACTGACGACTGCGATGAGTTCCGGTCCATCGTCCAGTGCCCACTGCCTTCGCTCAATTTCTCCACAGCCATTGATTTGCAACGGCGCGACAGTTACGACTCGACGGCTGGGACTAATGGCATGGCTTCTCCATGGAACAAGGTGGTTTACAAGGCGGTTATGGAGTGGTGTCTATGGCTGGTTAAGCTGCGTTTAGGGCAGGTGAGATGGGAAAGAGAGAAAAGACTGTGAAAGAGAAAGACCGAGAGGAAGAAGATCGAGAGAGATGAGAGATCGAGGGAGGACTGGAGGAAGAGACTCGGAGTGGAGTCTGAGAATAACAAAATGAATGAGAGGGGAGGGTTGAGTGAATTAGGTCTGACTCTGAGAATAAGAGAGAGAGGGTAATCAGTAGGAATGAACGGTAGAGATTTAATCAGTTGGAATGAATGGTCCGGGCTGGGGACTCGTTTTCTCTAGTTTTTAGAACTGGCCCACCCCGTTATTTACCAGGAACCAGCCCGGCCCACCCTATTTTATATTTATAATTTTTAGACCTGCCCTGTACCTGCCCCGAACCGCAAGGATCCGCCTCAACCCGCGGGTCCAGGACCCGTTTGCCCACCCCTAGTCCAAATGACAAAGTTGGTAAGAAAGTGCAATTTAGAGCATTTTAGAGCAGTTTTGGGCCAAGAATGGATAGCTTATGAGTGGAGCAAGATGGATGGACAAATTTGAAGATCAAAAGGCTAGGAAGATGCTAAGGAGATAAAGAAAATAAATTCAAGACAAAGAAGATAAGGAATCAGCTCAAAAAAAGGAAACATTATCCAAAACCTTATCCAACCTTATCTTATCCAAACTAACCTTATCTTATCTTATCCTATCCTAATCTTATCTTACCTTAAATCCAGCTGGAAGGGGACCTAAATATCTGATTTCTAGAGGTCTTAATCCTCTCCTACAAAGGTGGCGCTTCATTTCTTTCTAGAAGACCTTGTGTTCTTTCTAGAAACCTGCCACAACATGTTCCTTCTAGAACCCTATTTTGGTGCCGCACCTTAGCCTTTCTAGAACCCTTTTTCATAGTTTATGTCGCACCCTATATCCTTATTCCTTATGGTTTTTGATGTGTAATCCTTTTTCCCCTTGGTTTCTGCCAAACCCTAACCTTTTCCTATAGGATTGTGCAATCATTTTCCCTTCAGAAATTGTGCATAACCCTAGCTATATATACATGATTTTGCTACATAATTCAACACCACCGCCCATATATTCCTACACCACAACTCACTCCAATTCCCCATAAATTCATCAAGTGACGCAGCAAGGAAGGAAAAATGAGCTTTTTGCCGTGACTTGCAATCCAAGGAGGGTTCGAATCTGCCATTGGAGTTGCTGGGACATTCATGGTTCTTTCTACCTTTAGATTTGTTTCAATGTTGGTTTTAATATTGTTTTC